ATGGGGTTTTATTTTGCTAATATTAGCATGTTCTGCTAAGCTAGATGTGCTTTTGTTATCCTGGAAACACACTAGCACTACTTCCATGTAGTTTCACTGCTGATGTCTACTACTATTAAAGGGCAAGCATATACTTCAAAACTGTAATTCACTTAGCTAGTTACCAGAGCCAGCATTATGTGAATAAGCTTGATATATTTCTGTTCCAAAACCTATCAGAAAACAATTTATGGAATCTAATAAATTAAAAATGAATTGTCTCCAGCAACCATATATTTCACAATAAATGCATGTTCTTTGATCACAACTGACTGTGCTGTGTTCTAATTAATTTTTATACAGAAGTTTGCTATTGCCCCCTAAATAGATTTTATACACAAGACTAATCAGCTAACATTTTCAGCTGTGCCTTTGTCTTTTCACCTTCCAACCAAGTTAAAAATTCACAGAATTCAAGTATTTATGGCATAGCTTTCTACCTATAAGACATTTCAGTTTATGGAAGGAAAGACCTATATTTTTCTTTTGCTTTCTTGATCCCAACAGGCACACAATAGAAAGAAATACATGCAGACAGTTTAAGAACTTGCCTCTAGACAACGTGACTGTAGAAATTAATCCCTTTCTAGCTCTCAATTACTTTCTTTCCCAGTGAAAAATACTGGTATTACTCGGTCACTGTGTACCCCCTCCACAATCTTCTGAGACAGGCCTAGAGCCATTTGGTATTGCTGCTTGAAAGGGCAGGGAAGCTGACATGGAGTAGCATTTCTTGTCCAAATCTTCCTCTGTCTTTATGCATTCATGTAGAAAGGTCTAAGGCTCTTTACATGTTTGTGCATAGCACCATCATTGTCTTTGCTTACAAGTAATAAACTATGCCTGTCTACCTGCCATTAATCTCCAAAGGGCAGTACAATGCAAACACCATGAAAGATGTTCTAGTACATTTTATAAACATATAGAAACAAATCTGTATGCTTTGAAAACCAAAATAAAAGAAAGCTTGAGGAAATGAGAAAAGCATCCCATAAATTCCAATGAAGTCCCAATGAGAAAGAGAACAGCAAATTTAGCCTCAGCATCAGGCACCACTACAAAACAAAAAGTTCTTATTGCATACCTCGTGGTCTAGAGACACCAGTAAAGTTGACTGAGTATCTACTTAAGAAAAGGTCAGAAAACTGTCTCTCTAGAGTGGCTTAAGTATGTAAGGATCCAGCCTTGGGATAAAGCCAGATGACCCTTGGAGATCTCTTCCAGCATTTTCCTATGACTCTGTAATAGCGGTTAAGAGGATTTAAAAAATTGGTATTTTAAAAACATTCTTGCTCTGTGGAGACACTCTGGCAAGAGGCATTCTTACACTTTGATCCCGCCTTCCTATAGACTGATATCATAATGAGTAAGTAGGAGCACGCAGAAATTAAACTTTTAGAACATGGGGTGGTGATTTTTTTTTTTTTTCACGTACAGACCTTACAAGACCATTTATGTTAAACGTACAAAAATTAAAATAAATTCCATAATACAGACAGGAAGTCAGTGCAATAGGAACCAAATGGGAGTAATAGGACCCAGGTGGTTGGAATGGGTACAAAAACCCACATAGATGGCCATGTACGGCACAAATTGGAGCCTGGAGATGATTATAACTGAAACCTTCCAAAAGAAAGAATGGCTGTAAATGTTAACTGTATCAATGCAAACATCTTGGTATCTTACCACTGAGGAACAAGTAAGGAGAGAGAGGTGCATAATTTACTTAGCTAATGCAACCTGATGTGTTCATGCTGAAACTATACCATATTAAGGAATATGTTGGTATAGGGCATCATAGGCAGATAATTTTAACCCTTGATTAGGATGAGACCTCAGCATAACAAAAGTGGCAAGATGGAATTTACTTTCAGTTTGTGTCAAGTAACAAACAGCCATACTGCTTCAAAAGCCGCAGGAAAAAAACATCAGTTTAATACAATTAACAATAATAAGCCTGTTATTTGGTACATAAGCTGACAGGGAACACACATTTAAGCTTTAGTAATATAATACAGACTTGGTCATGAAATACTTATTTACTTATTCACCTCTCAATTTATACCAAGGCAGAAGACCATCCTATACCAAAAAAAAAGTCACGTACAAAGCACATCTAACTCATGAACAAGGCTCTCTTGGATGAAAAATAAATACCTTTAAGAGGTCTTTCATTAAAGGAAAGAATATCCACAATATGGCACAAAATGTTAACAACTGGCCTAAGTGAAAGAGGCAAGAAGAATTTCTGGCATTGGATACATAAGGTTAATGCCTTAAAAGAATACAGAGACTGTGAGCCCTGACTAGCCTTGTTGACAGATACACTCAGGGAACTAAGAGCCCATGCCCAGGACTCTGCAGATTTGCATTTTTTAAAGGTGTCCAGCAAAACCTCTGACTCAAGGACAGTGTACTGATTTTAGCACTCTTCCTCTGCTGCAGAAAGATTGAGAAAGTGCACACCACTTTACTTGCTGCACTTTATGAAGCAGTATGATATACTTGGACCTTCTGGGATTCCATGATAGCTCAAGTCTGCCTTTTAGCACTTTCTTTAGGAGGAAGGAGTAATGTTTTTGGCAAAGGAGGGAAAGGGACAAGGAAGACCTTACTGCTGTTTATCATGGTCTGGTCTGAAATCTTTGGAAACACTTTAAATGTATTTGTCCTTGTTGCACACTGATGAAATATCATTTTATTATCAACAGACTAGTGTAACTACCCTACCAAAAAACAGTGAGCCAAAAAATTTAACTTTTAAAGTCCCACGTAAAGTGAAATTTTATTATTCAGAGCTATATTGTCAAAAGAAAAAAACATTATTTTCTCCTACATCACCCCGAGAACAAAAAGATTCAAAGTATATATTATGAGCAGTGTATAGTTGTATAGTATATTGTAGTGCCATTAATTTGAGTATATTTAATTTTTTGTTAATATTTGTGGGTTTTTTGTTTTGTTTTTGTCTTTATTTTTTATTGGTTTTGTTTTGTTTGTTTTTTAATGGGAACCAAAGCCTTTGTGGCAAATAGCATAAGAATAAATATAAAAAAAACCACTGAAAGGGACAGTGAGAAAGCAATCAGAAATTCATAAAATTATACAGACTGTAAACAAGTAAAGAACAAAGCACTCTGAATATTAAAAGCAAGAGAGAAAGTGGAAGCAAAAGTCACTGTGTCAAGGTGCCAACAAAGTTAAGACCAAAAACCAGAGCCCAACACCATCAGATTGACCTATAATCTAAAGGCAAACAATGCAGAGGATTTTTTTTTTTTAATTAGAGGGTTAAAATATGAAGCATCAAAGTTCTGCAAAATAGAAGAACAGAGAAGATGAAGTGAATTCATAAAACACAAAATACATCAACATTGCGGATAAGTAAAATCCATATAAGTCTGGTGCCAGTAACCCAGTCAATACACTTTCTGATGGTAAACAGGCTGAAAGAGGTGGCTGGCCTTTACTGGAGTAAGAAAATAGATCTAAATAAATCCCATGTGAAAAAGAAATTAAAAACATCTGCTAAAGACACAAATGGTTTGTTGGCTGACATCAACAATGGGAAAGCTTCCAGTATATCAGCTCTGGGCTTGCCAGCAGGTGTTGCTGCAATTATTCAGAACAATTAGAGGTGATATTTCCAAAAGCATGGAGATGACAGGGCCAATAAATAAGGCAAGCATGATATTGTCAACAACTGAAATGTAAGCATTTCTCATAAATCTTTTAAGGACCTGTGCAACTAAGTATTTTAAAGCTAGCCACCAAGGCCTCAAATTTTACCAGTCATACTAATGTGAAATGATATCCTCCTCCATGACTGATGCCACTGAAATCCCAAAAACAACCAGATTTCTATGATACTTCCTTTACTAGAGAGTAGAATCTCACCTTGCCAAAGAGAAATATGAGCAAATACACCAGCTAACATTTTCGGATAGCATATATTTGAGTGTATTAATTTATTTTCAATAAGCATGAACTTTTACTGATGTTTACATTCATTATTACTTAGATTAACTAACTTGATTAGCCTCATTAATACTTTTTTTCTTTCCCTTTTTGAAAGATTTCCAGTTTTATATTCTTTCACAACAGCTATGCTTCAGCTTACAAGGCGGCATAAAAACACAGCTCTAATGTTTAGATGTTGGGTTTCTCAATATACCTTCTGAGTATAACTATGCATACAGTATTCTCCAGCTGGGCATACAGGTTAGCAGTACTTTGTAGATCAACACCAAACACAGCACAAACTTACCTAATCCTAAAATCTCCCCTTTTATCCCATTAATGAACTCCATCATGCGCACCCATCATCATCAGGAGTTTCTAGAGAAGGTTCTCAAATTTATGTCTCCATCATGATATGCTCTCCAGACTGATTTAAATTGCATGCTCAATTCATTAATCATTTTAAAATAAAACAGAACTAGCTTTAATTTTTTTAACCATTCACCTTTCTAGCTATCTTGAATAAAAAAAAGTTAAAAAACCTAAAGACATGATATGGCTTGCATCATTTTGAACCATTAAATTACTGCTCATGGAAATCAACCAAGGAGTGTAGTGGCTTCTTCACAGTGAACTGTATCATGACCCTGCGTCCCTTCATTTGCTGTCTTTCTATTAGTTTTACGGCTGACTTCAGTGGACTCTGTCAAAAGCAAAACTCTCTGTCATTTCCATCATGCCCTGCATTTCATGGAAAACCTGAACTGAAAAGAGATAGCAACTTTTACTTCATTTGAGTTAGAGAGATAAGCTGATGGCTCATGGCAAATATGCCTGCTTATTTCAAAGTTGTATTACAGAGACATCATCCAGATGCCCAGCCCAGCTCAGCCTCAGGACCAAGTCAGTCCCTTCTCCCAGGTATGTTTTACAAAGTACTAACTGATTCAGTGCAGGTGAAGTAACCACACTGCAGTTCATGTTTCTTTTTTATAATATGCTTCCAGATGAAAGCTAATTACATGCTCAAATCACTTACTCTGAGATTGAGTGGCACCAATTGCTTGCATGCTCAGAATAAGTTACTTAGCACACTCTCAGCTTTCATCTTAAAAACCTGCATGTTGCTGTTTCCCTACAGGAAAAAAGCATTCATGGAGACTTCCAAAATCTTCTCAGGATACAAATTGCCATTTAGGTGTTGGATGTTACTTTATTCTAGAGAGCTCTGAGGGTGGAAAAATTTAAGATGCTGATAACTGCCAGAAATACTAGAAAACTCCATGAGAGAAATAAGCCCTCATAGTGCAAGTATAGGAAGAAAAGTGGTTTCACAGAAGGATGCAATGAAAAATAAGTATTTGTCTTACAGAGAACATTTTCTTAATCTACAAGTTTAAAAAAAAAAAAAAAACTACCCAAAAAACCAACAAGAAGTGGTTCTTCTAACAGCCTGCTTTACAAACCACACCTGGAGCCTGACCTGAAGTTGTGCTGCATGCTCTCTGGCTCATGTTGGAAAGCAATTAACAACTGTGTTGACAATCAACAAACCAGAATAGAATCCAGCTCATTTTCTCATACCACTTTAGACCAGATAACAGTAAAAAGTCATCAGCTTTTTTTTTTTTTTTTTTTTTTTTTTTTTACTAAAGAAAGCAGATATATTTTGCAAGAGAGATAGATTTTGGATGTCTGGAGATGGATGATAGCATTTGTACATTGTCATTTCCTGACCACATGTGCATTTTACAAACAATTCCCCTATTCCACAGCATCTTGGCTGGACTTCTTAAAAACTAGAGAAGTGACTGCATTTGAAATAGAACCCCTTTCCAGTCCCATCCAATGGGTATGAGATTTCCTTTCCTCAAAATATTCTAAAAGGCTGCAGAAAACTCTTTGCCTAGTGAGAGATGCACAGCTGCTCTTTGTGATTTCAGAAAAGGAGTTAGCACCTGCCATTTGATACCTACCCTAATATCAGGAAATAGGAAACATTTTTTTTTTTCTAACTGGTATAATATAAAAATCTTATACCATACATGCAAGAGTAATCCTTTCAAATTCATTCTGTTATCATGCTGAGAAAACATGGTATAAAAGCTACTCTCAAACCCATGGTGACCCTGTGCACTATGTGTGGAGGAGTCAAGCAGTGTGGAAAAGGAACAGAGATGAACTTCAGCTGGAGCTTAACATGGCCCCATTCTTAGTGGCACAAGGTAGCCAAAGGTCACAGTCTACTAAAGCCACCAGAACTGCAACACTACAAATGCACCACACTTATTAGACCTGCACTTTTCAGCACAAGGAGAAAGGAGTTATCTCAAGTCAAAAATGTCCCAAGTGACAGGCATGGCACAGAATCTCACCTCACGCACTCATCTCCACAGGCACCAGGACCCCCAGGGCAGCTGATGCCTAACCCTCGTGGCTCAAATGGGCTGCCGGTCAACTGCACCTACCATGAACCAGCCCCCAAATTTGCTGGCCATGAGACAGTGCCGACAGAATTGGTTTCCTCCATGCCAAGGCTCTGGGCAGGGCTCTGGGCAAAAGCTGGGCAGCCCAGCTCTAGGGCAACCCAGACCAGGTTGCGGTGCACTTGCCACCACTCTTAGTGCATCAAGAACAAGAGTACTTTAGCACACACAAAAAAATTAATTAGCAAGAGAAAGGGTTACAAGCTCCATAATTCACAGGTCCCACATTAATGATTAGCTAAGTGAACTAGCTGCCCAGTTGGTAATTTGATTTGTTGGAAGGGAAAAGGCACTCTACGGACCTTGAAAGGTTTTAGCAGAACTGCGTGTCCCAGGTCACCCTGCTTCCCCCTGCCTTCATCATCTCATTGTCAAGCTCAATTTGCCAGCAAGGTCCTGACAATAAACAGAAAGATAGATTTCAAGACTGGTAGGCAAACTCTTGGTGAATGTCTTCATGAGCCATTGTAGTGATGAAATGAAGGAGATGTAGGGATGGAAAGGGTTGGGCGCTTTGTTTTGTTTAGCAAATGGCATGCTGTTATTCAATTATCACCCTTCATTTATTTTACCTTGATCATTAATACTTCATTTGTGCCCATGCTGCTAAAAGTAAGCAGAAAAACATTCCTGAGAAGTTGAAGGATATTATTTATTGCTTAGGGGGAGAAACAAATGGTCTGCTCACTGTCCAGATATTGACATGTAATTTTCCAAGTCAAAGCACTGGGACAATGTGCTTGTTAATTAAAAATCACACTTTACACTTACGTTTTCTCAGGTGGGATGAAATACAGTAAATAACTACAATTCACTGGCTTACTTTAATTTTTATAGAAACCATGGTCCCACTTCAGTGCCCTGGCACATAGTGCAAAGTCTAAGTAAAGGGTATTCTGACCTTAAGAGACATTTCAAACATATGGCCTGTGGGCCAAGTAGCAACGTAGGCCACAAAGTATATTAAAAAAATCAGACTATTTTGTCCTCTGCTGCAAGAAATGCATTCTTGAGTGCCAGTTTGACAAAGGAAGCAACAGGCTGAAGACTTTCAAATTGCACCTTAGAACACAAGAGTAGTTGCCTGATCCCTCCTCTTCATGGTCACTGTTTGAAGCATTTTTTTTCTGAGGTCATCCATGTTAAAGTCTGCCTCTTTTCCAACATTAAAAAGAGCATCTTAACTAAAAAGCACATTAAAAACTCCATCTCTTTTCCCAAATCCTTCTTTCTGTACAGTCAGGGAGGTTCTGTGAATTTGTAACAACTCCTAAAGTACAAGAATGTCAAAGCTCAGTTGGTTAGAGCATGGTGCTAATATCACCAAGGTTGTGGGTTTGATCCCCATATAGGCCATTCACTTAAAAGTTGGACTCAGTGATCCTCATGGGCCCCTTCCAACTCAAAATATTATTTCAAATCCTTCTGTGAAACTATTTCAAGATGCTTCTGGGACTATCAGTACTCCGTAGTTTAACTCTGAATCACAGAGTAGTGGTTAGCAATAGCAATATATATATTTTAACACAAATATTAAAAATTACAAAGAAATTGGAAACAGCATCAGTAGACAAAAAAAAAATGTTTTTAAATGGCATGAAAACTTGAGCTTTCTTATGCTGTAAGTACTCTCATATCATGTCATAGACTAAGATGAACTTGAAAGGACTGTTCACACTGCAAGGGCTATTTCTAGACTGGTATTAACAAGCGACCACATGCAATTCTCTGCATTCTTGGTTTGCCTAAATGAGCACCGGTTAAGAGACTAAGTCTTGCTCAAATAAAACTGGACTTCCTGTGTGCAGGGAAAGCAATAAAGGTCAGTGATCAAGGGACTTAGTACCCAAAAATACAATGTTCTGTAAATTTACACGCTACTGAATGTGCACCTGCCCTCAGGATAAGCAGCATTTCCCTAGGATATTAAATACTCATGGTGTATCTACATATAGTGTTGTTGATATAACCACTTTAACTGAGGTTTTCTCACATATAGGTGAAATTCAATAGTAAGCAGCACTTGGTAGTGATTTGCAAATACAAATCTAACTGAAAAATCCAATATTCATTACCTATTCAAGGACTAAATTCCAATGCCAGTTCAGTTTTAAATACTCATTTACAGCATGCCACTAACATTGCTGTGTGGGACACCTACAGGCAAGGTTCAAACACTCTGATTAGAAAAGCTTTTGAGGTTAGGAAAATAATACTCCCAGTCATAAGTTTAAAGGTGGAAAGGAATAGAAAAGTCAAAATCACTTCTGCGAGAGATGGGAGCCAAAGAAGAGTTTTCTTAAAGATGGAAAGAGCACTGACTCCCAAAACAAAAATGCTTTTCTTTGCTTGTGTAAGCACTCAAGTTTATCATTAAAAAACCCGAAGAGCTCCCAAAGTCATCATCAGCAAGCTATGGCAATGACAGGATGCAAGTGTCACTCTTCTGAAATTGAAAAGTATCACAATTCAAACTGGCATAACAAAATAAATTTATGTGGGTTTTCCCATCTCTGCGCAGGAACACGAATATTTAAAAAAGAACAAAACAATGCAGGGGAAGCCATCCTGAAGATGAAAACAATTACTGCTAAGTTTATTACTAGGAAAGAGTTTGCCCCAAGATGATGGGAAATGGAAAGGAGTATTGAATGGAAAGGAGTATTAAAAAACAAACAAACAAACAAAAAATCAAAACAAAACCAAAAACATAAAACCCAAACAGAGATTTTACTCTTCAGTCTCTTGAAACCAAGATATTTGAAAAAGATTTCCTCAAAAATCAGAGAGGGAAAGAAAGAATACCTAACAGCCTGCTCTGAATTGCAGAATTTGCACACAAAAATTAGTATTTCTTAAGAGACATCACAAAACATAGAATGACTCAACAGCCCAGACATTAGAAGAGTCACTTACAATATGGGAGATCCAGGTCTGAGTCCTCAGTCCAATAAGCATCTCAGTATGTATACAAAGAGAAATAGCCTCAGTGGAGAGGCTTGAAGTGCTCAGCTACAACGTGGGAAATGAGGCCCCACATCTCTGCCCTGAATCAGACAAACCCATGAGATTAGACTTGAATCCTTCACAACCCACATATGGGCTCTCTGCACTATGTATTGGCCATTTAATATAATGGTCTTTGTACTTCTGGTCCTGACTAGAAACGAATTCCTACATCCAAGACAGTTTTCAAAAATAAATTTTCTTCTAAACTGATATGTTATAAACTGATCTCCCATAATGGCATACCATTATTAGGACTAACATCAAAAATCATGCTCTGCACTCTCCCCGCCCTGATAAAATCCCCAGGCACTACCTATCTTATTTGTCCATTGTAACAGCTCCAAAGGACTTTCTTTAACTAAGGAATGCATCTACTTTTATGGCATTACCTTTACACGTACATATGCATTTTTGTTGGTTTTTATTGTTTGGTTTTGTGAGGTTTTTTTAAGTCTTACTTTTTTCACACACCACTCTTTTTTTTTTCTTTCTTTTTTTTTTTTTTTTAAACTATGCCAT